TGTGTAACACTTCAGTTCTCTTGAGTGGTACTGGTGATTTCTCTTGTCTTTCTGTCTAGAAGGCTTTCTTTCCTAGTTTAAGAAACCAGTTTTCCCCCCTTAACACAAGTATCTATTGAGTCAAGTCCCTGTATTTTTTTATTTTTGATCTTTTCTGACATATGTTAATCCAAGGGCATAGTTTCCCTGCACCTAGCCTGGCTGTGTCTCTCTCCTGGGGCTGTCCTAGCTGCTCTCCCCACAGCTGGCTGAGACCATCCTGTGTAGAACTGGCTCAGCGCCCTCCTTGCTCAGCAAGCGAGCTCCCTAGAGGGAGCCTAGGTCTCCCTCTTACCTCCGCCCACCCCCAGGCCACCACCCGTGCTGTCAGAGGCTTGTATCCAGACTCCCACCTATAGCTTCATTTGCTCAGATAGAAACCTTTCTGGGATGCTTCCCTGGTCCCCTGCAGTCTCCTACTGCCTGTTGCTTGTCCTTCCTTCATTTCTCGTGTCTTTCCTCTGGGCCTCATGTGGCTTATTCACATATGAGCTTCCTCCTTTCTGCATGGTCCCCTTCCTCTTCCTCCTGCCGCATCTACTTTGCTTATGGCCCCGGTCTGGAGCTGAGGCCCTGCTCAAGTACCTTGCTTCCTGCTGCTCTTCCCCGGAACCTGCTCATTCACCACACACCATAACTTCTCCACCGCTGCTGCATTGGCCAGGTGTGGTCTTGGTTAGCAGTGGTGCCATCAATTCACGCTACTTGTGAATCTAAATTAGACAGTTTGAGAAGGTTACAAAGCTCAGCAGTTGAGGTTAGTGTGCAGATCTTGCCTGGTACACACCTGAAACATACGGCTTTTGCAGTGTGCACACCACTTATCCTTTCATGTCCATGAAGCTGAGTCACACCAGGACTCTGAAGAACCCTGAAATCTCCTCTGTGAGGGTGCCCAGGGTGGACTGGTTGGTTTATGTTACTGATGGGCCTGTGGGTGCAGTTAGTCTAGCAGTGAGGAGCAGTGTTACTCAGGTCAGGCCCCTTGGCCTGACTGGATGCAGAGGAAACTTGCGGTGCTAAGCTAGACTGAGATGGAGAGTCCACCGATTCTCCCCTGGTTTCCAGAGAGGCCTGAGGTCTTCAGGAGGTATCCAGCTGTCTAGTGTGTGTTTTTCTAGTTAGCCACTGCTCTGGTGGTCACAGTCACTGCCAGTTATAGCAAGAAGGTGGAGGCATGGCTTGCTGAGGGTGAAAGCCAGGGCTCCCAAAGCCTTAGCACTCTGCTGTGTCATGTGCAGCACCTACGCTGAAAGTTCACGGTGAGTGCTGCTTCCCTAGGGCATTCATCCTCCCAGGACCCTTAGAGCAACTTCCTTTTCTTTCTTTTTTTTGGGGGGGGTCTGGTCCTAGGGCCTGAACTCTGGGCCTGGGCGCTGTCCCTCAGCTCTTCAGCTCAAGGCTAGCACTCTACCACTTGAGCCTCAGCTCCACTTCTGGTTTTGTGGTGGTTAACTGGAGATAAGTGTCTCATAGACTTTCCTACCAGGGCTGGCTTCAAACCGTGATCCTCAGATCTCAAGCCTGAGAAGGTAGGCTTACAGGTATGAGCACTGGGTCATGCAGCTGAAAATTGACCATTGGAAGAAATTTCATAGATGGGGCCCTGTGACTGTCCTTGGTCCACTTACTGTAGTGTTCTTGACCTTCGCCCTGTGCAGAAGTATCAGTCATTGTGTTTCTTCCCTTTGCTGTTGTAATGCGGTTTATACAATCCTCAGTTGTGGACATTTTACGTTGGTTTTAGGGTTTGGGTTTTGCCTGCAAGTCTTTTTGTGGAAATGGTTCTCCTGGGTAGCTCTTAGCAGCGAGGCAGAAACTGGCACACATCCCCCAAATGGCCACAGCATTTTGCATTCACAGCTGCGCAGTCATCCGTCGTTGTCCTTGATTTTTATCTTCTGATGGAGTGAGGGAACTTCTGTGGATTTGGTAGCTGGAAATCCAGCTAGGTTGAGGCCCAGAGGACAGAGAGCCTGGTGCAACTTGGTGCCACATGGGTTCACGCTGGGCACCCCGGAGGGAATTTTGGCCCTTCTACACACTTTTGAAAAGACCAAAAGAAATGCAAGTATGCTTTGTAGACCCTTGCGATAAATGCATCTCAAGAGAGCATCCCCACCCCACATTTGTTCTGGCCCTTCCCAGTCAGCCCTAGGCAAGCACTGCGGTGAGCTCTGTGCGGGGCGTGTGCGTGTGCGTGTGCGCGTGTGTGTGTCCCCACGTCCCCACGTGGTCCCAAGCTAACCTTACCGTGGAAGGGATGCTCGTCCCGCCTGCCGCCGACAAGGGACTCGGGCTGGCGTCTCCAAGCCGATTTAAGCTAACCTTGATAATCCGGCTGGGGCCTGGGGGGCGGAGCCGCGGCGGCCGCCGCCCCTCCGGGCCGCCGAGTGGTGGAGAGGGCCGGGCTCCCAGAGCCGGGCCTGCGAGGGGCGGGA